GACAGTATAAGTCATTATAATCAGTAATTATGTCCCCACTGGATGCAACAAATGCCTCGTTTGTAATGGGTTTTCATGTTTTTGTGTTGTTGCTCCGGCCGGACACGGCATCAACACAGTATGGTGAGGGGCGTAACATTTACGTTTCATGCTTGAGGTATTCGGCCAATCACAACGCACTGGATAGCTGGCCAATCACAGCACACCTCGCTTTTTCAGACCGATGAGCTTTGTAAAAATCAACGCGTTTCAGAAGGCGGGGCATAGAGGAGAAACAATAATGTACAGTATGTGGAAAATAATGTGTTTTTTTAACTTTAAACCACATAAACACATTTCATTACACCAAATAATGTTCCTTTTAGCAGCATCATATGACCCCTTTAAACAATGATTTGTCAAAAGGGTCTTTAAAAATGTAGTTAAACTTTAGAACACTACACTGTATGAATCAAATATACATTCATTCTTATTAAAGTTATAAAGTGATTCAGTCAAGAGCAGTGAGTGATTTTCTCTGTATTTTGTTGTTTGATTAACATTAATGACTGCTGTCTCTTTAAGACGAAATGCACGGATCTAATATACTGACACGCATCTGATTTCCTTCCCAGCTGTTTGTTAATTTAACACATAACTAACCCAGCAAACACAACTACGATGTAAAACGATTTTTTTAATTTCACGTCGTGAAAAGGTCATGCTAATGTTTTTTGTTGATGTACTTAAAGGGGTCATGATGTTGCTAAAAAGAACATTATTTTGTGTATTTGGTTTTCTTTATGGGAGGAAAACGCTTCTGTTCTTACCTGCTTTCATGTATAATTTATTAATAAACTGTATACCGAATTTGGCCTTTTTATACCACTATCTTAGTCCATTAATTAAGCATTTTCTTTCTATGAGGGATACTCTTAAAGTGCAATTCAATTTACCGGGTTACGTTCATATTCTGGGCTATTCTGCTTGTCTTGTGCTTTATTAATAAGGTATGTACTGAATTTAGTCATCCAGTGGTTTACATTAAGTGTTTTAGAATGTCCCAAAACCGTGCCTTGATAAGCATGCACTGACTATTTCGTCCAAGTTCAAAACAAAACTCTATGAACTGCTCCACTGTGAACGTATGGAGCTGTATGAACCACTACAATCTGTAAAGTAAACAGGAAGTGTTTGTCCGAACTCAACTGGTTTTGCGAGGGAACGCAAATATATTTGCGAGAGAAAGCAAAAGTTTTGCGAGGGAACGCAAAGTTTTTAGAGGGAATGCAAAAAATCGGACAAATATTTTTTCCTCCCACCCCAAATTTTTTCACTCAATCTGATTTTTTTTCCACCACCATGTCCCTTTAGGGGCTCCGTAGCGTATACCTCTTCGATACGATTATTTAAAAAAAAAAATTATATGCAATTATGTACAAAATTAGTAACATATAAATCTCACAACATTTATGAGAAAGTTATTATGTATGCCAGGGGTATTTATTAATTATATATGCCGGGGTAAAATTTAAAACAATTAACTA